AAAGGTAGGGGCGGGTCTCTTCCCTTCCCCCCCCCCCCCCCCCCACACACGCCCTCTCTTACCAGCGCTCGCTCGTGGGCATTGACCACGATCTGGCACGCTGGGTCTGTGATGCATTTCCCCTCTACCGCCGCTCTCCTCTCACGCAGGTACTGGTTCCAAAGCTTGTAGCTGCTTGCGGCCAACCAAGATCGTTCGCGCGCGCGCACAACGCGCGGCGGGTGGGCGTAAAATGAGTGCTTGCGGGGGGAGAGAACGCAGCTGATGAAAGATGTAACGGTTTGTCCGCGACTTCGTCTGCGGGCGAATCCCGCTTCACATCCAACACCGTAAATGACACAATGGGCAACCGAAGGCCTGGTGCATGTTTTGATGTTTTGCTACGGATACCAGGGTTTGGACGCGTCAACGTAAGAGTATGTCGCATGATGAACTGGCCACATTCATCAACCAACACGTAGGATGCACTTCGAAGAGGTGTGCGCCGGTGGTGCCGTTCCTCTGAACGGGCATGCTGCAGCGAATTATGAGCCGTATCCGTGTACGCACCTCAGTGCACCATCGTAGCAACAGGGGGCACTACAGCAGTGCAAGTAAACTGCTGCGATATGAGAGATGAGGACTAAGCACAAGCACAAGAAGCTCAACAGGGTGTAGGTTACGTCTCAACCAAAACCGCCTTCCTGTCGTTGAGAGACCGAAAAGCACCAGGAACACTATCTACTATTTTGCAGCTTAAACGTATTCCTTCGCACGTCCTAAGCAAGCTTCCCGAGTAGGTTTACTACCAACGCTGATGCGGCGATGGGCGCTCGATAGGCTACGGCAGAGGGAGAGTCCAAAGTCACCCCCACGACCTGGGTGCCAAACTCTTACAGCAGTGCCCCCCCAAAGACCCTGCCTCGCAGCTCGATGTTTGTATAGACAACAAAACACAAACATACCGTAAGCGTACACAAAAACCCAGACAGGACACACGCCATCTCCCACCATACTCGCCGCTTACCTGTTGGGGAGAAACTTGAGCGCCCGCTCGTGGATGATGTTGCGCGTCTTGCGCTTAGCGCCCTCCTTGGCCAGCAGGTACCTCCACCAGGACTTGAGCCGGTAGGGGTTGCGAGAGATCTCCTCCTCGAACTCGATGTCCTTCTCGTTCTCCAAGAACTCTTTGATGTCCTGGCCCAAGGAGGAGGCCGGCGGGGCAGAAGAGGATGCCATTTGCCGGCTTGTGTATCTTGCTCTAAGGGCTACACGCGCGAGCTGCTATCCTCGCCGGGAGAGTGCAGGTAGGCCTGCTGGTCTTGCCCCTGGGGAAAGCAGCCACCGCCGCGTTCCTCTGCCTTCCAACAAAAATGCGCTCGACAAACTCTAGCCCAGCTTGGTGCCTCGCGATAGATGAGCCGGTCCTCCTCCACGCATACGCCAAATCTTCCCCCTGTCTATGGCCGCGCCGCCGTTGCAACGCTCTCGTTTAGCACACAGCCTTGCTTGGCCGTTGTCCGCCGCTCCTCGAGTGTGGATTGTTGAGACACAACACAAAACGCAGGCACTCCAACCAAGCGCCTCACGATCCTATGGGAAGCAGTAACCGAGCCTTGTGCGTTGCAACAGAGGAGCTACTGTTGGCGATGTTGTCGTCGGGGGCGAAGACAGAGATAAGGGCACGCAGGTCGACCTTTCTCTGAGCTCGGCCTTGGCCTGGACTGTCGAGGGGGGGAAACACAGAGGATATTTTGGCAAGCATGCGGTGAAACTAAGAAGATACAAATCGCGAGCCCCCCACCACTTTTCGAAATCAGACAGCAGCAGCAGGCAGAGCTGGCACCTTCCCCTGCCCAGGACCATACTCACGGGCCCGCGCACGCCCACTACCACCTCCAGTAGATATATTGGTGCTGGTGTGCCTTGAACGCCCAAGGATTTTCTTCCAGGAACCGTGGGTGGATGCAACGACGACGCTCTGCATTTATTTCGGCCTCGTGTTGACATTCGTTTATCGTTGTGCCGAACACAGCTAGGGGGCTTGGTGCAGAATCTCAGCTCTGCCTACTGCTGTTGCGTACTCGAGTAGCGCGCTAGAGCTGCGTAGCTGCAGCAGAGCCTGCGCACTATGTACGTCCCGAAGATCCATGCAGCGACCGCTGCAGCGGCCGTTCTTGCAGCCCGCGAGGGGCAGGCGAGAGCCTTCCACGTCAACAACAACAACAACAACGCATCATCATCATCATCCCGATTGCTCTTGCGTGGCGTACCGCGTGCTTCTGCTGCCGTCCACAGCAGCAGCAGCAGCAGCAGCAGGATGACTGTGGCCACTGCTGCTGCTGCTCTCCCGTACTGCTGCAGCAGCAGCAGAGGGAACCGGGCCGGCTTTTTTTCCTCCTTGTTGCGACCAACAGCAGCTACGCTCGCGTTCTGTAGTTCCTCAACGGGATGGTGGCGTTCGTTGCCGCGATCGTCGTCGTCACACCGCCTCAGGCGGGGGGCAGCGGAGGCGGTGTCTAGACGGCGGAGGGGAACGGCGGCGGCGACTGCGACGACGCTGCTGAGCATGAAGGCGTCGGGGCAGGGAGGGGGGAAGGGGGAGTCCGTGCGGAACAGAGCTTTGGGGACGGTGGTGAGTTCGCTTGCTGTGGAGGTGTAGGGCGTGTACAAAGTGCAGTAAATAATTATTATACGTAGTGCGATCCTACGGAGCACGCACCACTTCAGCGTACACCCACACGCCCGGAGAACAGCACTGCTGTCTGTCTGTACCACATCTTCTACATGTACCGAATCATCACCCCCGACGCCGGCAGAGGCAATGCGTATTGCCTCCCGGTGACACTTTCGCAGAATCACGGCGAGTATTCTCTGTGGGAGTGGTGATGACAAAAGTCACCATCAGCGTTGTCCACAACAGCAGCACTACGCGGCGCGCTAGATACATACCGCGCTGCCCGATTTTGGTTCATTTTTTCATTTTTTCATTATTTCGTCGCCGCCACCGCCGATGAGCGTAGACTACAGTTCTGTAGTGTAGGATCCACCGCTGACCTGATGTGTCTCAATTCCGATTTCTTTTTTTTCGGATGAGCTTATTTTCTTGAAAAGTCTCTATGTATGTTAGGTTGCATACAAGCTGCAGCGGAACAGCTGTAGACTACAAGATAGACAGCAAGATATTTGGATCCCTGCCTGCGCTTTGAAGGCGTCCACTGCAATCCAACTCCGCACGATCTTGCGGCACAAGGGTTGCAAGTACACAGGAAACACAATAAATATGTAGTGTACTTGTAGAGGGTCTTGCTGTGACAAGAGACGGCAGTGTTGTTGCTCACCGTCTAATGGAAGAAGCGGGTGTGGAATGCTCACGAGATATCTAGAGCCGGTACCCCTACCAACTGCCGTCCCCCTTCTTTCCGAGTCTTCGAAAAACGACGTTGGCGGAGTTTCGCTACAGGCTTGTGCGGGGCGTTGTGATTGTGACATGGCCGACTGAGTGGATACTGCCATCCACCCCTAGCATACCGATATCTAAATCTTCCAGAGCTTTGTAGAGGACATCATCGAGGGGCTATGGCTACGCTTTTTAGCTATGCAAGACCGTGGGGGGGGCGCGCGAATTGCGCATGTGCTTGCTATTTAACCGATTCAATCTCCTCCCATGCGCAGAACCCCCCCCACCGATCTACTTCACGCTCTTTCCTATCGTTGTGAACTTTTGTATGCCCCTGCAGAACAAGTCGTAGCTAAAGCAGGAGATGCGACATCGTCTGGGAGTCCGCCGCTATTCGATTGAGTCAATACATCGCTGTAGAGTGGAGTTCCCAAATCCCCTCTATCCTGAGTGCTTGCCACACAAGTGCACTTTTAACACAGATAGCGCCCGCGTTCAAGAACCTCTAGTTTTGACCAAAGGCGGAGGTTCTCAGTTCCTCTTGTGGGATACAAATGGCCGCTATGTCGCCTTTAATGTAGACGGGTTCTTAACAGGGTTCGCAAACGGTACGTAAGTTCTTATAATCGATACAGCTGTAGTGTTGAGCATGAAGATCGTAGCTGACAAGTTCTTGCGGGCGAGGGCTACCCGTGTAATCATGTGAACGAGACAGCAGAGGGCGATGAGCTTTCACTTCTTGGGGGGGGGGTCGTCGCAGATGGGTTCCGGACTGTGCATGTGCGAGGGGTTCAGTGTCAGCACATAAATTTATGCTGTTTTACCCTCGATCGTCATGGTAGAGCTCGTACAATCGCGTGGTGGCATTGCGTGGACTTGGGGGTTAAGATTACGTTGTTGTTGGTGTCAGTACGTACACCAACACTACCGACGCCAAGGCTAGTAGGATGCTCTCAAGCACACCGGCTTACTCCTCCTCCTCCTCGTCGTCCTCCTCCTCCTCCTCCTCCTCCTCCTCCTCCTCCTCCTCCTCCTCCTCCTCCTCCTCCTCCGCTTCCTCCCCCTCCTTGCCCTCCTCCTCCAGACCCTCCTCATCCCAATCTTGCTCAATTCCGTGACCTCGGCCGCCACAGGTGTACCTCCTGCCGATGCTCGACGGGCTCGACTGCGGTCGCGACGTGTTCCACGCGGTGCCCATGCTGGGGAGTCTCGTGCACGGCGTCCTCGCGCCAGCGCTGGCCATCTGGGACAACGTGCCCTTCATGCCCCTGGTGATGTTCATCATCCTGCAGGTTTCGGTGCGGCGGCAGGACACCTCGAGGTGAGTTATTCACTCGAGATCATTCAGAGGGAAGAGAGTGCTGAACTCTTCTCGCATAAAAAATTGAAGGCGAAGTACCGCAGGAGGGGAGGGTAGAGAGAGGCTCTTCTGTGTGACCACGGGTTGGAATAAACGGCACTAGTGCTGTGAGCGCTGATTTGAAGTGAAGAACAAAAAAAAAAACAAAAAAAAACATTTCGCTTCATGTGATATGGAAGAGTTGAGCGTTTGGCCTTCGACACAGGTTTCGGCCCCGCGGCATTACATGTCCGGGTGATTTTTTCGCGATTGCGCGAGCGTTTTTTTATTGGTTCTCATTAATTTCGTTTGATGGGATTATGGAAGAGTTGAGCGTTTGGCCTTCGACAAGGAGCAGGCGGGTCGAAGATGGCCGTTGTTCTGCCTTGCAGGTACTGTAGGTTGGGGGTTTTCGTGCACGCTAGGGCGCGCACGGCGGCGAAGTTTTTGTCTCTCAACATGGAAGAAGCTTGGATGGCTTGAAACACGTACAACGAGGCGATCGTCGATACATCTAACTACTGTGGACGGTGATGGTCGGGGCTGTTCGTCGAGGTGCTACCATCACGACCACCACAGCTGCTACCTGGAATCCTTCGCACAGAACAGCACGAAAAACAAATACAAAATAGCATACGGTAGGTGTCCCGATATGGTGCCTTTGTGTGCCTAAATTAGAGGTTTGACCGGCACTCTTCGCAACAGGGTTGTATAGGTTTTAGTATAGGAATGGACTAATATTGATAACCAGAGGTTTGACCGGCACTATCAAGGGACACGTTAAGCGCCACGCGGAAGCACCTTGATAGGCACGCATTCTCGCAAAACACTGCCGTTCCACCGCAAGGGTTCGTCTTGACGAACGCCCCCGCTTCCCTTCCCTCCTTTTCTCCCCTCCGCCGGCGGCCCACACCACACCACACGCCACACGCCACACCACGGCACGGCACGCCAGGTTCATTCGTTTCAACGTCCAGCAGGCGATCTTGGTAGACATCCTGACCGTGGTGCTGGGGCTTCTGGGCACGGCGGCGGGGTACGTCGCCCCGGAGGGCGAGCAGTTCGTCACAAACTTCGCCTTCTACTGCCTGGTAGGGGCGGTGGCGTACGCGGTGGCGGAAACGGCGAGGGGGAAGATGGCGAACCAGGTGATTTTTCCTAGAACAACAGGGTTTTGCGTTTTTTTTTGTTTGTTTGTAACGGGGGTGAGTTTTTTCCGACAATCGGCTTGTGCAATTTTTTTGTGCTTTTGTGGAAGACGCGCCGCGTAGAGCGTCGTTGTAATGGGGGGACTCTAAGGGAGACGTGTGAGAAGGCCGTCGAGTTGTTGTTGTGAAACTTTGTCTGTTGGAGAATGACGATATGGCGTGAGAAAGTGCAGCATCAGTGCGCGGGACGTAGAGGCTGCCTCTTCGCAAGCCACGCTACAAGATGTGGGTTTGTTTTCTTTCGGAAAAGGTGGTGATTTCGAAGGCAAACCAATCAAGTGATCGTATCAAGTATCTACTGTAGCACTCCATTAATCCCATACACCCTTCCTCCGCCCCCCCCGGTGATCCGCCCCGGTTCTGCTGTCCGTCACCGAGCAGATCCCGCTCATTTCTGCTGCGGCGGAAATACAGCTCGGTCCGTCGTAGCCGTTCAAAGAGTGTCTCGGCGATTCCGACCTCCTGCATGCACTGGTCGACGAAAGCCGTGTGCGGGCGCGTTTGTGTGTTGATGGCAACAACTCAAGCGCGACGGCAGCATATCGGTGCAAGAAGAACCGTTCGGTGGTATGCCGTTGGTCGTTCTCCCGGCTGAGGGTTGCGCTTTTTGGTTGTTTTGCCATACGGTACATCGTACCTGGCCGTCGTGTTGGTCAAGGTTGTCAGGTTGTGGACGAGGTTGACGTATGGCGTGTTTCTTGTTTGTATTTGTATCGGGGGGTGAGCTCATCGGCGGGCGCTTAAACTGTATCTATAGGAAATTTACAACGAAGGTCCCGGGGGCGAAATCGCAAGGGGTGGGCGGGGGGTCGTTTAAAGGCCCGCGAAAGAAAAAGGTAAACCACCGGTCTTTCTCTCATGTCCAACTCGAGATTCAGTGCAACGGCATCTTTTTGGTGGTGCATGACTACGTTCAAGACATTTCGCTTCGTGGTTGATGGTTGTTGGTTTGTTTGTTGCGTACCAACCGTGAGGAGAGGTTCGGGTTTGTTTTCTCCATTCGGCTCCGTTGTTTTCGTGCTCGGTATGTGCATGGTCGAGCAAGCACCGCCGTCATAAGTACGTACGTGCACAGGGGTCGAGAGGAAGAGACAGCACTACTACTGTAGTGTTCTCCTGGTCTTGTTTGGCGCGTGTATACACACCTGGTTGTAAATCCTCTGTTCCAGGCAGAAAAAACGGCGTTATAACGAGAAAGTGGCTTGTTCGTGCAGTATTGACGTGAACCACCGGCCGTGTGGCCTCGGTTCTACATGCTTGCTGGGGCGGCCATCACCCAACTGTTGTGTTAAAATCTCGAGTGTTTGTTTTCCAAACGGAGTTCTCTGGGCTACTCGTTCCAGAACCAATCAGCGTGTTTGAAGCCCGACTCGTGCCTTCTGAGCTGAGTTTAGCCACCCCTTTTTTGTGTTTATGAATGACAGCAGTTTTGCGGGCGGCTCCCCTTCGTTACATGTTGGGGGAAAATTGTTGTTTCCTGTGCCGCGAGAGCCCTTCGTGTTCAATTTTTGGTGGACCTCGAGGCGAGAGTCGAAACTACGAAACAACAAGACGCACGCGCCGTTTTTCGGCACCAGGCATGATCTGAACGCATGTCTTTTTTTGAAGGTTTCAACGGCAATCTCCCCACGTGACTGGCGGTTGTCCGCGGATGGTGTGAATCTGTGCCTCTAGGTCGTGTGTCTCTCTATGTAGATTCCCGGGTGGACGTTTCCGCGCGCCTTGACGTCGGTATCCGTGCACCCTCAGGTTTCTCGGCTTTGTTCCTTCCTCCCTTACTGTTCCGTGTAGTATTTCGAACATTTTGTCTCTGGACCGGCAACGCTAACGCTATGCTCAGTACTGTTGCGCTTGTCGAAGTCGTCGTGTTCCTGCTTATTGGAGGGTGCCACCTCTGCTGCAGAAATGTGTTTTTTTGTCAGAATCCACCGACGGTACGGGCGTTCCATACCAAGTATCCGTACCGGTCAGCGCCGCCATTGAAACAATGGAAGAATGCCGTTCTAACCAAGATCAAGGTTTTCCGCTGTTGTACGTTAGGCGAAGATGTTGTAAGTGTTACTTAGCATCTAGACTATAACAGCCACAGGTTTTTCCGTGGGTGCCACGAAAAATACATGAAGGTTGTTAGAGACCTCGAATCATTTGTCACCGCCCGCAGTTCTCCAGGTCTGCATCGGAGAATAGCAGGGGTGTTACACCACCAACACCAGTGGCAATATACCAGCTTCCTAGAGTTTGAGGGGGATGTACGTTGCCGCCCTCTCGCAATCCGGAGATACCTTGGATACGGATATTGAGAGCTGGTGCATGTCACCATCGGTAAAAAGTGCAACGGACAGCAGTCTGTGCGTCCCGTGCTGTTGCGGGCTGCGGGAGAGACATTAGAGCACCTGGGGCATGCCAATTCGTACATCAATTACCAGACACAGGCCAAGATAGAGCCAGCAAGCCAAGGTGGTGTTGGGTGCAACATTCAACAAGCACGCCAGGCAGACGACACACAAGATCCAGGCGGGCAGGGGTCCCGCAGATTCGAAACCCGATACCAACTCTCAGCGATTTTTGTACATCATTCGACCCCCGAATTTTAAAATAACCGCGGCCAGCTCGCAGTACCTCTGCGCTGCACGATTCAATTGATCAGCTACACACACACCACGCGCTTCGGCCATTCGTCTTCAGTCAGCTGCACATGCTGCCAAAGGTGTCCATTTCTAGACGGTGTGCTGTGCTACTACACGTGGTGTGTTGTTGTGTGAGGTCAACAGCAGAGCGACCGGAAAGGAGATAAGATGCCTCCAGCTACAAAGCGCGGGCCGGGGCGTCCCAGCAACAGCAGTGGGGCTGGCGGCGGTGGGGTTCCCGCTCGGAAGAAGAAGGACAAGGCAGAGGTGGGCACAAACGCTTTGCAACAACACAGCCTAGCCTCCATGTCGCCGTTATCTCTTGCTGCTGGCGTTTGCCCCGCCAAAATAAAACAGACCTTCTCAAATCTGCAACAAGTTTTGTTTTTGAAATTTCTCTGCTACTGGCTCTTGTCGATACGAAATCTTGCTGTTGTTTTCAACGCCTTTTTTGGGGCCGTGCGCAGTTAATCGCTGACCTCCTCCGCCAGAGGCGTGTGCGCCGCGCAAGCACGTCGTTGCTATACCGGGCGAGCCTAGTTCTACCGCAAGTGTTTGCACCATGCTGCCAACAGCGTCGCACAATTCTCTTGATATTCCATACGAAATTGGAATTTTGAAATTTGTGGATCACCTTGATTTACGGGTAGTTACAAAAGTACAAACACAAGCACCACATTTATGTACATGTATAATAGCAGCAAGAGCACACACATTGTGGGAATCACAAAGCCAGGAATCACTTGGGTTCGGTACAAGGTGAGAGGCAGGAGCACCAGCTGTACACGGGTACCCGCACAACAATACAACAATCCTGTCCAGTGTGACAAATTGGTCATTGCGTGGGTTCGGGTTTCCTCCCCTCCTCTCTCTCATCGTCTCGTCGCCGCTGTACTATTTAGCAGATTTAGATTGGTGCGGTCAGTCTACAGCCGGTCCATTGATTTGTCGCTCGTTCTTCGCATGCGGTATCTGAGTTTCACCAACAAGTCTTTTGATCAACCTTGTACGGTCTTTCTTTCCTTCAGGTGCGCTGGCTGGTGCATTCATTTTTCTCTCTCGTTCTCCGCAGTTGTTGTTTATTCATCTTAGTGTCATCAAACCAATTTTTTGTCGATTTTTTTTCACCTTCGTTCCTTGACGGCGTTTGAAAATCTAGGTGGGCAAGGCGCAACCCACGCTGACGAAGTTCTTCACCACTCCCAAGACAAAGCCGGCCGCCGCCGCCGCCGCCGATGATGTCGTCCTTATCCCCAGCCCGACAAAGAAAGGGGGCGACGACAAACCCCCACCTACCAAAGCCGCGGCAGAGGTAAAACGAGTGACTTTTGAGTTGTGTTGGTTTCCAAGGCCCACCCCGAGCCGTCCTTGGGTATGCCCCCTGGTGACCAGGTGCAAGATGTAATAGTGGAGTTTCGAGACTCACCAATTTTAAGCTCCCCCTTTGAGGGCGCATCGGAAGTCACCGTCTATATGTATGTCGCGCAATGTAGGGGGACGCCGCCAAGATAGTCCAAAACCTATGTTGTAGCTTTCTCCAGTACGGTTACGAGCCGACATCTCCTAACAAGACCCATGGCATAGCCGGGCGGCCTCCACCCCCCGTTGCGCGGATGGAATTCAGCTTACTCCTGGAGCTCGATCCGTACGGCATGAGCTTTGATAGCTTTGTTGCTCATCTGGAACCGAACCCGCTGAAAGTAGCATTGTGTTCTTCAGGCCTTATCGAACGGCTGGTGTATCGAGCGCAAGGGCAGAATCGTCATTGGCTCGACGCGACCCGATTTGTCTTTCTGTCGTGTCTGTCTCTGTCTTTCTCTGTCTGTCTGTCTGTCTGTCTGTCTCTCTCGGTTGTCCCGCTTTAACGCGTCCTTGCCTGTCCTTCTTGGCTGCCTGCGCTTGGCTTCTGACACATTCGCAGCAGCAGCCGGAGCCGAAGGCGGTGATCGAAGAAGCCTCTTCCTCCGGCAGCGGCGGCTGCCCCTCTCCGGCCAGTATCATCAAGTCTGCTGCCCGCGCTTGGGTTTTGGAACAGCAGCAGGAGAAGCAGCAGGAGAAGAAGCAGCAGCAGAAGCAGAAGAAGCAGAAGCAGAAGGCGAAGACGGTGAGCGAAGAAGCCTCTTCCTTTCCCGGCGGCGGTGGCGGCGACAGAGATGACGGCGGTTCTCCGTCCAGTGCCATCAAATCTGTGCGGTTCAAGCTAGACAAGGTGTGTGTGCATGCGCGCGTATTTTTGCGCTCTCAAGCATTGATTGGTCCAGCAGGTAGCCTCAACTACTACCATCCGCGTGCAGCCAGTTACACGAAATGATCATCGCACTGCCGCTGTTACCCACCGATTGGAAGCCGTCGTCCAACGTATTGTCTTTCTTGTTCCCTGATCTCCTCACGCTCACTGCCTCCCCTGTTCCCCACGGATCCTCTGTAGGAGACGGAGAGCCCGGCGAACGCAAAATCTCCTAGCGACCGCGGGACGAAACGGCTGCGACAAGGCCAGGACGACGACGATGACCAAAACGGTGGCAGTGTCGTTGCTGCTGCGGCTGCTGCTGCTGCTGCGCGCGATGCCGAGGAGGGCGACGTGCTCATGTCGGAGCAAGCGGCGGCGACAGGCGGTAAGACCATTGCCAGTAGCACGATGGCGATGCACAAGACGCCCCCGTCCAGGGCCCAGCAGCGCGCGAAGGCTGACGCGGCGGTGGCGGTGGCGGTGGCGGCGGCGGTGGTAGGAGTTACGGTGAAGCCCGCGCCGACCGGCATCTCGTCCTTCTTCTCGCCTTCTTCGTCCGCCGCAGGTGCCGGCGCTGGCGATGTTAGATCCGACAAGAACAGCAAGGCGGTGAAGCCGTCTGCTGCGTTTGCTTCCGGCGGGAACGGCAGCGAGTCCACGGAGGAGGGGGGAGACGCGGGGGCGCAGACGGGGTTCGTGACGCCGTCGCGGTCGCCGCAGCCGCCGTCGCCGAGCCATGACGGCGGCGGCGGCGGCGGCGGCGGCCAAGAGGACATGGACGTTGTAGTGGTGGCGCCACCACCACCAGCAGGAGCCAAGGACAAGCCGACACTGGCGTCTATCTTCCCGGCTGGCACTTCTTCGAAACCCAGCAGCAGCAGCAGCAGCAGCAGCAGCAGCAGCAGCAGCAATGGGAAAGCAGCGGCGGCCGTGACCGTCGGTGGGGCGGGCGCCAAGGGCAACAAAGCGGCGGCCACCGGCGGCGGTGGCGGAGCGGCCACGTCGCAGCAGGATGCGACGCCCCCGCCGCCGCCGCCACCGCCATCGCACCCTCTCCTGGACAAGTACCGGCAGCAGCTCTCCCAGGCGGTGTCGAGCGCCCGCTCGGCGGACGAGGGGGAGGGCCGCCAGGACCGCAGGATGGGGCTGCAGGACGCCGTGGACGGCGCGCTAGCCTGGAAGGCGGCGGGGGAGGGCGGAGGTGGTGCTGACGCTGCAGCGGCGTCGGCGTCGGCGGGGGCGTCGGCGGGGGCGGCGTCGGCGGGAGCGTTTCCAGAGCACCTGGCCCCTCTCCTCGCTCGCTTGGTTCAGGGCAGCGCGTCGCCTCTGTCGTCGCTGGCCGAGGAGGCCTGCGGGGTGATGGCGGACTTGATCCCCGGCCAGGCGGCTGGGCTGACGGCGGACCAGGTCTCCGGCAAGATCAGGTTAGGACAACAACATGTCTTTTGTTCCTCCTTTCTTCGGTCGGGCAATAATTGTTGCGGTATGTTGTTGCCCATGGATACGAGGAGAGCAGCGGGGTGTGTGCTTTGATGGCCAATCGACTGCCCCGTTTTTTGTCCGGACGCCGGGATAAGAGAGATGGTCACCCAACGGTGTGCGCTGGGGTAGTCTTGATGGCCTGCTCGAGGGTAGGGTTGTGGGAGCTGGCGGTGTTGCCGTCATTGTCATTGTTGGTGTCGTCGTTCTTGCTAACACTTGTGATGCTGCTGATTGTGCTGTTTTTTGTATGGGCAAACTTGAGCTAGAGATGTTGTCGCTGCTTCTATTTATCACACACGAGGAGCAGCAGCGAGGTGCCCCCACCGCTTGCTTTCACGCACTCCCCCTAAGCTCTGTCGTTTTCGGCACGCGAGCGTTTTAACGCCCAGGCGTTCCACTTTTCTTGGAGCCGCTTTTATTCGAACCGCCCTACCTACCACCTTGCTGCCAAGCTACCTCTGTATCTATTTCATATGCTCAGTGAGGGATCGGTTTTCTAACCTTGCCAACATCGCCATCGTCGTCACGCTTGTCCCTCTCGTTTTTTCCTTTGGGCGGCGGTTCGTGCCTGCCTGCCTGCCTGCCTGCGTGCCTGCCTGCCCGTAGCCTCATCGCCCAGCGGAAGTGCTACGGCTCTCAACCCCGCAAGGCCGTGATTCCGGAGGACACCGCACCCGAGGCCATCTGGCGCTGGGAGGTCCAGCTCATGGACCTTTTGCCGACCGAAAAGGTGCACTGCTGTGTGTTTGCGTGTTTGTGTGTTTGTTAGCGTCGACCGCGCTAACCGGCTGACCAATGAAATGACGTCAGTCTCGGTGCGGTATGTTCGTCTTTTTTATTTGCGTCGACCACGCTCAAGTTAGCTGACCAATGAAAAGACGTCAATGTCAGCTCGGGCGATAACAGAAAATGCTTCTACAGTGTATTGGCCATGAATCCGTCTGTGTGTGTCTGTGTTATTTTCGTCTTTTTTATTTAACTTGTGGCTGTTCATCGCCCATCTATTTTCTCTTCATCCGTGTCTCGTATTCTGGCTTAGTTCTTGCGCGTGTGGATTGACATGTTGAAGAGGGGGAGACGTGAGTTGATGCGGTTTTTGGTTGGGGGGGGGGGGGAACAAGGGAGACCATGGACGTGTTTCGAGTACCAAAAAAAAAGTACAAGCAGGTTGGGGGGTTCTCTGTCAAACATAAAGAAAATAGTCAAACAGGGGCGTGGAAGACTTTGTTTTTCGTCAATAACCGAAGTTTTCGTTCGTTTGTTTGCGCTTGCGTTTTAATAAAACAGGCTGGGGTCGTCAAGTCGGCGCGGAGTGACCGCACCAACTCGGGCCGGCTGGTCAAGGCCCTGGTCCGACTCACGGAGGTCATGGCCAAGTTCCCCGGCGATGCCGCCAAGATCAGCAAGGAGGAGGAGAAGGTGCTTACGCATGCATGCCTATGTATTCATTCTCCTCTCCTCTCCACGCCTGCTGGTGCTGGTGCTGGTGCTGGTGCTACATGTCGAACGCCGCCCGCTCGCACGCACGTGGACCATGACCTTTAGCCTTCAGAAAACCTTTTTTTTACGCCGTCAGCGCGATGAGACTGACGTATTGTTCATTTTTGGTCCGCCGTTTATCTAGCGTAGTCCATGCTATCACTATTAATAAACACACACACATGACACGATGAAGGTGATGGCCTTTGCCCGGCGTGAGGAAGCTCTCCGTCAGAAGGCCACCCTCAAGGAGGCGGGGGCGGCCATGCGGGAGGCAGCCCGGAGGGGCAGGGAGGAGGCCAAGGCGGAGGAGAAGCGGGCGAAGGAGGAGGAGAGGCGGAAGAAGCTGGAGCAGAGGCAGGCGGAGAGGGACGCCAAGGACCAGGAGAGGAGACGAGTCAAGGCCGAGGCCGCCGCCGCCGAGGAGGTTTGTTGTCCGCTATCCTGTCCTTTCCTTCCCTTTATTCGCTTTTTCTTCGTCCTGTTCCATCCTCTGTTTTTCTTTTGCTATCCTATCCATATCTCGCTTTTTTTTTGTTCATCCTTGTCCTGTTCTTGTCCTGTCCTATCCTATGCTAGCTCTTTCTTCGTCCTATTCGGTCCTGTCCTAGCTTTTGTTTTGTCCTACAATTCCTATCCTAGTCTAACTTTTTTTTTTTCATCCTGGTCCTGTCCGTTCGTGTGCTGTCCTGCTGTTGTTGTGGCGGCCGTGTTGTTGGTACTGGTGGCTAATGTGGTCGTTCTCGATACGGTGGTGTTGGACAGATGCGGTATTCTCTCGCTGAGGACTCTTTTTGTGCCCCCCATGTCCCCCTGCTGCTTAATCGCGCGACGCAGGAGCGCAAGAAGGAAGAGGAGGCCAAGCAGCAGCCCAAGATTTCTCTTTTCAACTTCTTCAGAGTCACGGACGCCGCCCCTTCCCAAGACGCCAAGGTAGGAACGGCTAGGCTAGGAGCTGTGGAGAACGCCGCCGCTACCAACCGCGCGTTGCAACATGGACGGGTGCTTTTATGCTTGTCACGGCAACATGATCCCCGCAGCATCATTAGTGTCTCGACTCCCTCTCTGCTGGATGGGGCTTTCGGTAGAGCGCAACCCAGCGCCCAATCCGGGCAGGCCTGGCGACGCTCCTACCGAGAGGGGGTGATCTGCCCACATGGGGTGTAAAACACGACAGCAGTAGGAGAGACAAACAAACAAGTGGGTACCCCCCCATTTCTTGTCCCATCGGTGACCTCCCTGTCTCCAGCCATGTGTCGTCGTCCAATCCACGTGCCTGCCTGCCTGTCTTCAACCGTCAAAAACCAGTAACAACAAGTATTGCCTCCCCACCCTTCCCCCTCCTGGCTTCGTAGGAATGCGAGGTCAATGGTCTAACGACCACGGCATGCGCGACTATGAGTACACCCACGCCCCCCCCCCTTCCTACCCTTCCGAAAATGATCTTTCCATTCCCCTCTTTTTGTATATTCTCTGCAGGAAAATGTTGAGCCGTCCGCCATGGGCGTCCTGCATGCGGGCGTCAACGGCTCGAGGGACGCAGCGGGCAAGGCCCTGGCGGCAGCGGGGGCGACGGCGGCTACAGCAGCAGCGGGAGGAGGGGGGGGGGCTCTGATCGGACAGGCGGGCAGCGGCAACGCGGGCGGCGCCGGGGTTGAGGCGGCGGCGGCGGGGGGGGTGGGGGGCGTTGAGGTCGGGGGAGGGGGCGGAGGGGGAGGAGACCTGGGGGGTGGTGTTGTTGTTCGGAGGAGCGAGGGGGGGTTCGGGCCCGAAGAAGTTGTGTTGTTCGAGAAGAGATTGAAGGACGGGGGCGAGCCGGAGGAGCTTCTGGTCAAGACCGCGCGAGGTGTGTATGTGTGTGCGTGTCTTTTAGTTGTATGGACCGCGGCTACCCCACTGACCAATGGAAACATGTCAGTCTCAGTGCCGCTGAAAAAGGCAAAGCGCTGCTACAGCAAAGGCTGTGGTGTGGGATCCGGGGTCACCGGGGGGGCTGGGCTTTTCGCCGGACTAAATTGTGTGCATGTGCTAAATGGGCTTGCTCATGTGCACTTGTGTATTGAGTGAGGTACCAATCTGACTTCTGATTCAGGTCGGACGAGATGGGGACCTTGTTCTCCTCTCTTCTTCCACCCCTCCGTGCTTGACACCCCGTCCGTTCCATCCCGTCTTGTGTTTCCGTTCCATCCCGTCTGGTGTTTCGGTTCCATCCCGTCTTGTATCGATGGTACGTTGACGATACCGACCACGTGCTTCGCGTGCGCGTCCGCAGAGATGGGCGAGCGATCCCTCAAGCGCAAGGCCATCGCCGCCGCCCTGGCCGGGGACGACGAGGTAAGCGTTGCACCGACAACAACCACAACCACGATATCAACCGCAACGACAGCAACAACAACAACACCACGACACCAACACCATCACCACCGACACCACCACCACCAACAAAAACAACAGCAACAGCAACAACAACAGCAACAACAACAACAACAACAACAACAACAACAACAACAACAACAACAACAACAACAACAACAACAACAACAACAACAACAACAACAACAGCAACAACAACAGAGGCAGCATCCATAGACAGAAGTGAAAGAGTGTCTACGAAAGGAGGTCACACGAGATTGGAGTGTGGCCGAAGTAAGCGAATAGCGGAGGGGAGGGAGGACCGTAGATCGCTGTCGCCGGCGTGTAGGGTAGCGTTTCGGCGTGCGAAATTTGCTCACGTATGTGTCCGCCACGTGCTTCTTCACGCCGACCGCTACTGTTCAGTGGACCTTCACACATTTGTTACCTTGTCCCCCACTTCGCGCCAACGAGGGAGGGCCAGCCAATAATCAACCACGTGCCATCTTCGCCTTGCGCTCGCGCCCTCGCACGTGAAACCCTGATTGGCTGCTTGACACAACAGTCCCGCCGAGAAACCGCCTGTATCATACACGTTGTCGATGCTTGCGTGTCGTTGTCGTCTTTGTCGTTGGTTGCCCGCAGGTGGAAGTGGTCCGGGCGAAGAAGATCAAGGTTACCGTAACCGTGGCGGGCGGCAGAGGCGGCTTCGGAGAGCCCAGCTACTCAGAGACGAAACAGGTGCAAACACGTGTGCGTGTGTGCATATATACATGTATCCTCCGCGCTCGAAGAACGCACAAAACCCTGTACATGTGATAAAAACGTCACCTTGGAGACGACTACTTACTGCTGTCTCGGAAGATTGTGACGACCGTGCCGATAAACGAACGAACGCACCAGGTGGAGGTTCGCAACCGCATGAAGCTCTTGCAGTTCCACCAGGACCACCGGCCGCCCTACTGGGGCACGTGGTCCAAGAGCAGCAGCCAGGTCACGGGCAGGCGGCCGCTTGGTCGAGACACCAAGGGCACGCTCAATTATGACTACGATAGCGAGGGTGCGTTTCCGTGACGGCGTCTTTGTGTGTGTTTTTACTATAAGCATCGACCGCGCTATCCCGCTGACCAATGAAAATACGTTGGTCTCAGTGCGGTTGAAAACAGCACAAACGGTTGTGAAGGCCATGATTTGTGTGTGTGCGTGCGTGTGTATGTTTTTTTTTGTTGGTATCGATCGCGCTAACCGGCTGACCAATGAAAAGACGATGTCAGTCTCAGTGCGGCAGACAACAGCAAAATGCCATGACCTGGGACCCCGTGAGGAGCTGTTTGTACGTGTCTTTTGTGTGATTGTTTCTATTGCCACACCGTTCATTCGGCATCGTGCGAACCCCCCCCCATACCTCGCTTGTCCATGTGTTTTTTTGTTCTCAGAGGACTGGGAGGAGGAGGCGCAGGGTGAAGATCTTCTTTCGGACGAAGAGGTCGAGCCTGAGGACAACCTCGACTACAAGGCAAGGAACCAGGCTGCTGTTGTTGTAAATGTTCTTTTTGTTATTGGTGGTGGTTTTGTTGGGGTTGATGCTGGTGGTGGTGGTGTTGTTGTTGCCTTTTGTGGGCATGCGGATGATGGTGCTGGTGTCACCGTAGGTGTTTTTTTTGTGTGTGTGGTGTGAGCCAGGTCGTGTCCCCCACCTTGTCTTGTATGGTTGTTTAGACTTTTTTATCATTGTGCTCTTTCCAAGTGTTCTCTTTTGCTCCTTCCGTCACTGCTGTTAGCGTGTAGCGTTTTTCCCTACCGCCGCTTGCCTTCGTCGGCAGTTCCTATTGAACATGCCTTCCCCCTCCCATCCCGATCCACGTACAATGATTCG